TCTCTATAGTATTTATCTAATACTTATCGCGTCACATTTCGAGACATAATACAATATTAACGACCATACACGGAACGACTAGCAGAGGTACCTTTTGATGGGGTTGTCGATACAGGAATGATAGTGCGGTGACCTTTCCATTAGCTATCGGCGCGGCGTACACGACACTTGAATGTGTGACGAAAACAATACTGCGCGCTGCATACCAACCGTCTCTCATTACTAGTAATACTTTATTCACTTTAAATATGGTAAGTTATTAACGTATACTGAATATTTTGTCTTTTATATTTTGATGAACAGATTATTATTATCGCATGCTTTGCACTTCATTTTAGAAATTTATTACTTTGCTTTATGAATAGCATCGCTTAGAATAATTATAACATTCAATTGAGAGTTTTAGAATAAAAGTATTATATAACTTTATTATGTGTCTCGATTCTAAAAACACGTAGCTTTATTAATAAAATGTGTAATATAAATATATAATAGTATTTTAGACTAAATATATTATAATTTTATTATGTCTCACAATCAAGAGCAATGTCTTAGATTCTAAAAATACGTAATTTCATTAATAAAATGTGTAATAAAATATAAGTGTGTAATAACAAATTTTATACAAATGCATTTTTAATCCTTTTTTAAAAATTAGAATTAATTAATTACTCAATTTCAAAGACATTAAATCGGTTGTGTAATTAGAATAATAAAACTTATCCTCGTATTAATTATAAAATTATTAAAAAAATTATATGTTACCATTATATTATATCTTTTACTTGTAAATTTTTAATATTAAAAATTAATACAATTGCAAAATTACATTTCTAAAATAGACGTCAAAATTGAAATATCATTTATTAATGCACATTAAATAAATATCTAAGCTTATTATACAACCAATGTATCAAATTACTTTTAATTGTAAATCAATTAATAACGAATAATTATTTCCAACAGTAACAAATAATTAAATAAATTATGAAATTCTTACCTAGCAATTTCATCGTCATCCTATAGGTATTTCCCTGGCTTTCTAGTGTTTGCTGGTTTTTTGTGGCATTTATATCTGAAAAAGATATTGAACATGCATTAATTACTAGAATATAACAATCGTGTAGCACGATATCCTTTTATAAGTTTAATATGCAAACTATACTTTGAATTATTTTTAATTATAAATAATTTTTAATAAATAAATATTTGCACCAGTAATAAATAATTAAGTAAATTATAAAATGTATACCTAGTAGTTTCATTGCCATCCTATTTTTTCCTGGCCTTCTCGTTCTCTCTGTTGTGTTATTCTCTGTTGTTGATTCTTCGTAACACTCACATCTGAAAGACATTAAGCGTGCATTAATTACTATAATAGAATACAACGATCTCTCGTGTAGCACGATATTCTTTTATGATATCCTTTATGTTAATTACATGTGACGTGCACTTCATAACAACAATAAAAAAAGGACGAAATTACATATATCCACGACGTTTCGTAAATGAAATATGAATACAACGAATAATTCCATTTTCTTTTTATGGCGGTTATTCTTTTGTATTTATTACGATGTAAGTTAAGATATGAAACTTGGAATTACATACAGACCCGTGGTACTTGTAATATCTGAAATATGATCGTCGATCGTTTGTCGTTCGCGCGATGGATATTTTGGTCGAACAAATCTCGCAAAATACGCATCTAACGGATCGTCGATGTACGAACGCCAAATGTATGTTAGGGTTCGTCCAGACTATCGAGCTTTATTGTTTTTTGTCGAGCCGCGTAATGTTTACCGAAATGTTCGCGGTTCGACTCGATAATCTGGATACATAATCTTACACGCTAGTTAACTATCGTAAGTAAGTACAAAGAAGGTAATACGAGATTGATACAAGTTTCGCTTACCAAAGAGTCACGACGTCACTCGTTCCGCAACTGATCCACCCCGCACCCATCCAAGCCGCTTTCTGTGACTGATACGTGATACAACGGCATTAGACATGGCGTCATGACGTCATTCGCGCGGGCACTTTGCGCGCCAAAATCGCGTCGCGCGCGACACTACGCGGTTTGCTCCTAACTTCGCGTTCATGCATTTTCCGTATTTTGGACAACGAATAATTCACTTTCCACGCGGCAGTTATTACTTTACAACACAAGTTAAATATAAAACTTGAAATTTTTTTTACAGATAGAAATTCGCGATAGTACTTATAATATATAGAAATTAATGTGTTCGCACGATGGATTTTTCGGCCAAACAAATCCCGTGAAATACTCATCTAACGGATCATCAATATAAGTACGTCAAATTTATGTTACGTATTAATTATCTATTCTAAAGGCCATGGCACATAAAAATACTTCAGCAGTAATAAGATTCTTATTGTTTAAGCAGTAAGGAAATCAACGTGCTGGATTCGCTCTTACTTACGTTATGGTTATGGTCTTACAGTCTGTACTGTGATTGATCGCTTATTGCTTAAGTTCTACGTCTTAATTTTTTCTATGTGCCATGGTCTTAAGAATAAGGTATCTACAAGGAAAATAAGACGGATTGATACAAATTTCGCTTACCAAAATGAGTTACTCACCGCGATGTCACTCGTTCCGCAACCGATTCGTTCCTGACTACAAATGAAGCGTAATTAAGGTAGATGACGCCGCGCAGTAACATCAGATGCGCGGTCAATTTAAAAAATAACGCGGCGATGCTTCTGCTCCTAATTTTGCGTTCGTGCATCTTTTAAATTTTGGACAATGCAAGTAGTGTACACAATATTTTTTTCTATAATTAGATAAATTTACATCGAATATTCTATTGCTTTTATTTAAAATTAATTTCGATGTTCTATTATTTCATACTTAAAGCTTTATTGTGTGGACCCGTCAAAATATCATTTAATTGAACGTATTGAAAGTGACTAATAGTGATTATTAAATTATAATTCTGCATTTTGATTCGACGTCAACAATATGGAGGCTTAATTTTATATCTTTGATTTATTAAAATTTCATAATTTTATTTTTCTTTTAAAATCTAAAAAATATGTAAAATGTTATAAGGTTACTTCCATAATTTTTGTCTATTAATTCGAAAGTTTCTCAAAAATGTTAGATTTATTAGAACTCTTTTTCACGCACATAAAGAAAATTATTAAATAACTAATCATCTAAAATTTTATTTTAGATTTTTAGAAAATGATTTTAAAGAAGAGACTATGATCAAAAAGTAGAAAAGTTCTGATAAGATTAAAATAATAATAACATGAAATAAACGGCATTAAGTTGCAACGCGTATACGACGTAATAAGAAATATTAATTTGTTTTCGATTCTAATAATTCATCTCTTAAAGAAATTGTTGATGTCGTAATGTTGTTCTTTCGTTTAGCTTAACTACCGTAACAAGGATAATTAAGTCAGGAAAGAGCGCGAGGCGCGTTGTAAAACGTAGGACTATCATGTTATGCCGCAAATCATTTTGCATCGTATAATGAACCCACGTATGCATCGGTAATGGCGTGTCAGTAATTAGAATCTCGTGTTCGTTAACGTGCAATCCGATTAATTTATCCGGTTTGCAAGACCTCGCGACAAAAATCAATCGTCGACCGGTCCCTTTCGTAACACAGCTGACGTACTTCGAGGAATCTTCCTTCCTGATGAGAGCATTTTGCGCGTCACGTTTCCGGCCATGCCGATTTCTCGCACCTGTCTGAGAGAGCGCGGGCGTGTTGGTAAGCTCTGAGAATTAATGACGTGCGGAAATTGCGCATCAGTTGCGTGCTGATCCCGATAGGGTGTCATAATTGTAAGCATATGGACGGGAAGTAAATTTATCTGTAAGTTCATCTGCAAGTCTACGAAATTTTAACCCTTCGTCTGCAATCTGGATCTTTTTTTTATACAAGCAAAATTTTACTCTTAAATTTCTTTGAAATAAAATTCCTCTGAAATAAGAAAATATTCCCTTAAAATATCTCATTAAAAAAACTATTTATAATAATGTAATAGAGATGTTGAAAGTAACCTTAACTTCTGCCACATTTTTAAAAGAACAGTAAAAAACAGATTGCAGGCAAAGTGAGTAAAAATATAACAGCAAACGGAGAGTTGAATCTCTATCTTGTCAAATTAAGTATTGTATTAAAATTTTACATAATTAAGATACTGGAATATTTAAGACCGTCTATCTTCTATTTGCACCTGCGAGGAAAGTCGGGTTTTGCTTGTACGAACGACAATCAATTGCTTCACGCCTTTTTATCGCTTTTACAATTAGTTTTAGCAGCACGCAAACGAAATTAGAGCATTCTGTTCATACACGCCACGAAAAACGATATAGCATTCCTATCGTAGAAATATGTATGGCCGTAACGTTCGCTTTATTACTCGACTGATTGCTCTTACTAGTTGAATGCTTCAAAGTCCGTGAAAAAGCGTTTATATATTTGCTATTCAGATAATCACACGAGTAATTATAAATAATAGATGTCATTACTATCTTTGAATAGCTATTAGGTCATCGTGTTTCAGTCTCCACACCACATACACATACGAGTATACATTTTTTAAATTCGTAGATATCATATTTTTTATTACATATATTATAAGTACGAAATAAATCTGTTTTTGAATCGTTATAAAATAAAATATTAATGTCGCACACATATTATAATAAAAATGTAATAAGCAATAATAAACGATCAAGTCTTTTAGAGATCGTTTATGAAACGGTATTTTATATATTATAATATAATACGAGAATAATAATTTTACATAAAATTACAAGATATTAAAATATTGTTTTTTTTTATTAAGATTATTTAAAATTAATTAATTAAATAAAATTTTTCTTTAGCAAATATAAAATGAATAAAGTCTAACGTTCAGTTTATATACATTTTAATTTAAACATCGTATATAATATAGAAAAATTAAATCTAACATTAATTTTTCTGTAATTTTTAGATGTTTTACATTTCCAGGTTTGTGCGAGGTGGAAGGAGGACAATCGAACATCATCCTCGATATTGAAGAAAGCAGAGGAAATGGTAAGTGCGACATGTTAATACAATTATTTTAGTGTATCGTTTACTAAATATTTTTATTAATTAAATCTACATTACATTCTTTTTTGAAAGCGTTGATTTTTAGAAAAGCTTGCAAATTTAATGACTTACAATTGAGAAACAGAAGTCATTAAATCACAAATATATTTCTCTGATTTCTCTATTTCTTATGTAAAATAAAATAATAAAATATACATTTCTATATTTGGAGTCAACGTCTGTTATGTTTCTAGTGTGTCATTATATTTTTCCACATCGCAAACTGATTTTGTTTGTCACAAGTTTATTCGATCTCAGGTTTGGCTGTACACATTGCATTGGTTGTATTGTAGATACATTTTCGATAAATTTTCGTGTTTACGTTCAAAAATAGATCATTCCTCGAGATTTGATTTCAAAATCGTGAATGTCACAATTCCGTTATTTCATTACGCGGAAATTACGTTTAGCGGATGATCGGTTGACTGACAATTATCGAAATCAAGCCAAATCAACTTCTAATATTCTTGAGAAACTCATCTTGCACGTTCCGAAAATCTAAAAGACTACCTCACTTTTTTCGATCTCCACCGTATGCATAATGCACGATGATTTTATCGGCGAAAGACTATTTTGACGAGAAGTAATTTCGTTATTATATCCGAAACGAATGAATAAATTTACTCTACCGCGCATAATGCATTAAAATGATTGTCATTCCATATAAAAAAAGACTAGAGGGAATAAAGATGAATTGTATTTAATCTTTATCCGCGTCACTCAGATTTATTACACCCATATTAGTTAATTTAAATTGTTCCTTAATCTTTATAGAACAGGAAAGCCATTTTAATGAAACAGTGTTATATTTTAAGACAAGAAATACAATGAAATAATGAATTATAATAAATCTTATATATATATATATGGGACGTTTCACGTCAACGGGGACAAGAGTCCGGGCAAAATTTGTGAAGTCGAAATAAGACGTTCGAGGGCTTAAAATTTTCGTTTTTATATGTGATTTAAGGAAAAACATGGCGTTTTTTAGAATTCAAAGCGGCTGCTCCAATATGGCGATTAGAATAAATAAAAAACTTATCGAATGTATTATTTCGATTTCACGAATTTTGCCCAGACACTTGTCCCCGTTGACATGGAACGTCCCATATATATATATATATATACACACACACACACACACACACACACACACACACGCACACACACATATATATATACACTCAAGAAAAAGAGATTTTTTAAATAAATTTAATCTTTCTCTAAAGGTTAAAAGCAATTTGAGATTGCTTTCAATGTTTTTTTATACATTATATGTAAATAAAAATAAGATGCGAAAACCTTATGAATGGATTAAAATTAAAATTGAGAAATGTGAATTTAATTTAATAGGAAAATCTCCAAGACTCGAAATTGTATAAAAAGCGATGTTAAATTTATTTTCAAAGACGATATCTGACAGTACAGTAATAGAAATCTTAATTAGTTTCTCGGTTAAAGAAAAGTAATTACATTGATAAAGAATGATGACTTAAATTAGAGAAAAGAAATATTTGAGATGTAGTCTCGAGAATAGTCAATACGTTGCAATTAAATTGTATTGGATTTCATTAATGAGATGTTGCCTGAGATCAACATCAGCTCGCTAAGATAGCATTCATTATACAGAATGAAGATGGGTTGATCTTCGCTTGAGAGAGGAAGTCATATTATACAAGTAATAAAACAATTTCCTCGAAATGACTATTCATATTATCATCATTAGATTATGTTTCATGATACTGGCAATTAGTAGTTTTTTTGTATTTTTCAATACATTAATTACAAATATTAATCTCGATTTCTTTGATAATTATATTTTATTAGATATTTATTAGAAGTGATTCTTCGTTTGATATCTGAAACAAACGGCCGAGAATATATACCACCCTGCTGGAGTTTCGTATATATTTCCAGTTTATTGAAAATTTCATTTACGCTGTCCCAGATATGAGATAAATCGATGTGCACGACGGTAATCGTCTTCATTGGCTATCCCTTTTCAGCGATCGATCAGAAGACTGTGCCGGAAGAGCTTCCGGTGTCCGGCGATCCTTATAACGAGACTATGCTGGAGCTCCTCTTTCCTGGAAAAGAGATCCCTCTTTTTAAATTGAACGGCAAAAAACTTCAGCTTCTCAAGCCATTGGACAGAGACGACGAAAATCTCTCACATGTGGTTTTTCAGGTAAGAAATTTTATCTCGCAATAATTATAAGAACCTGCCTGTTTTATTTAATTTCTAAAAAAAGATTCTCTGTAATGGACTAATGTTGCGGTTTCGTAAGGCTAAAAAAAGTGGAACAGATGTATCTACATTAAAAAGTTGGATGCATTATTATAACGGTAGCGCTACATTCTCTCTATATATTTCTTCTTAGACTCCTTCAAAGATTGAGATCACTTGTAGCCTAGATTTAATGTGCTTTCTCACACTTATATTTATACACATTAATTTATAAGCGCGCACAAAACGACATTTATTATGATATAAATATATTTTTTACTATAATTTTTTACTAATATTTTTTTAAATAATGTCTTTTATTAATATATTTGCGTACACGAGATTGCTTTTAAATTTACATTTAAGAAACTGGAAGAATGCGTTATGCAAATGCGTATGCTGAAAGTTTAGATAAAAATTTACAGCACATGCAACTATCAGTTCATGTGCACATCTTCTTCCTTATTCGTCCATCCGAGAAAGTTTACGAGCAACGCATCGACGCAACGTAAATTATGGAATATCATTTAACCGCTTTCTAACGATAAAGTCACCTGGGGACCACTGCGAAACAAATTGCCACATTGAAAATCATTGACAACGGGAATTTCCGATAATAAATAACGAAGATGTGCGGAGAGAAACTTGTTACGCGCGGAAACTTCAGCCTCCTGCGCCTGATTTGCACTCTCTGATTATTATTCTTTGCGACAACTTGTCAACAGCCTTCGTTTCTCTATTCATTTTTGTTCGGTCGGAATTTTCACCGTCCTCAATATCGTCGATTAGATATCGCAAAAGAATGTAATGATGGAAATATGGGGTAAATGGAATACTCCCATTATTGAAACTTTAAAAAACGAAGGAATATAACAAAGGATAATATGTAATAACGATGAAAATAATGCAAAGGGCAAGGCAACTCATACAGAAACAGATGTATCATTATTATCCTTCTCAATTCTACTACAAATGTTAAAAGACAAGTGAATAATAGGTTTCACTTCGAGTCAATATTTCTTATAATCTTTACGATTGCAATAAAAAATTGTATTCTTTGGTTTCTTTCAAGTGAATTTTTTCTTTTTATACTGATCATTAAACGTCTAAACGTCTAGTCTAATTCATCTCGCGAGCACCTAACGCTTTTAAGACGACGCCGTTGTCTATCTACGCAAAAAACTTCCTCCGTTTCTACGAAGAGGATCTCTTGTCTCCTGTAAAATGTTTCATTATTTTTTTCACCGTCAACGAGTTGCAAACTTACTGCGAAAGCGGAAGCTAGCAGTTTGTCAAGAACACTCGCGAAGAAAGTTACAAAATCCAATGGCTTCCTGCATCAGTTGTTAAATCGCACGTTAATAGATACAATTTTATTTTTACAAAATTATGAGAAGTATGATACTTTATTTTTAAAGAATCTAAATTAATTTTTACGGGGAACATCTTTTCCTATAAATAATACATCAGCTATAAAAATATTTTTTAATAAAAAAACAGTTAATTTCTTCTTAAAATGGAATTAAATTCTATTAAATTATATATATATTTTTTTTAATTTGTTAGCCTATACATTTCTTAAATACATTTATCAAATAATGTTTGAAATTTTTTTTTACATAAATTACATGAAATTGATTTGCTCGCTCATTATTGCGCTCGCGGTTCAAGAAGAAGTTTTCTCTGTTGATTCGTTCAGCATCCGCGAAACTGTATAAACACATTGTGTCTTATGACACTATCATGTGAGGAATGTGAAAGGTCTGGAGTACCGCATCGAACACTTCAAGAGCTCGTACTGATCAAATGAGTAGATCAGATCTGAGAAATGCAGATAGAGATGTAGAGATAAGTTCGATTCAAACAGAAATGCGGAACATTTCGATTAATTTACAGAAACCTACATGGACGAGTAATTAAATCGATCGAAATAAATTAATCTGAGTGAAACCAATTAATTATTACTTCACTCAGCCGAAGGATGCCGGTCGCTTCAGAGACAACTTTTTACACGTTACTTTTAATTGAATATTTGCGTAATATCTTTAATAGTAAACGATGTCCAGTTTGTAATTTGTAAAAATTTTATAGTCATACAATAATCATATTACCTTGTTACAACATGTTTTATCGTAATTACAACATATGATCGTTCTGAATTTCCCTAATTTGTAAATAGTAATGATTTGGAGTAATTTTATTCACAATCTCATTCCTTTTACAGTTCTGAATTAAAATTCTTTAAAAAAATAAAACTAATAAGACTTTAGCGGGTCCCAAGGAAACATATATTCTTTTAGCGTAATATTATATGTATAATAAAATATGTGTATAGATATATATATATTTCCTGTTAAGGATTTGATTTATTAATATCATTTATAAATTCTTTATATATAAATATCCCTTATTAAAATCCTTTTTATGAAGTTTTCCTTCAGTGACAGTTAAGCAGTATTTAACAGTAAAACAAGCGATCAATGCTAAATTTTCATGTTCATTGGCTACGTTTACACCGTGCATTTAGGCCGCGACCTGTACAATAGATGTCCTTATTTATCCTGTAGGTTAAATAAGGACATCTGTTGTATAGGTCGTGGCCTAAATGCACGGTATAAACGTAGCCACTGTCCGATATAAATACTTATTTGTTTTTTAGTTGAGCTGCACGGTGAAGTTGACCAACAAAAAGCGGAATATCCCGATGATAGTGAGAGTGTCCGACGTCAACGATAATGCGCCAAAATTCATTAACACGCCCTATGAGACCACTGTGCCGGAGGTAAGAGCTTCATTCCCTCAAAGGAAGCTTTAGTTTTCATTTTCATCTCGTAATCAAATATGCAACTGTAAAATACCGCTCGATCATCCTTCAACTCACGTAATTAACTTCAATCGATAGTCCTTCTGTTGACAATTAATTCCTCACGCTTGCAGTAAAATGGATGAGGCTGCCAGGGTGGGTGAAAATGCGTTTTATATTAAGAAAATAATAAAACATCAAGCGTGAAAATGCGAGCATAACACGGTAATTCACGGTATGCTCCGCGCTACAGTAAATTTATGTCTATAATGAGTTGCGCTACGACGCATATACGGTATGCACGCGCAGTTGGAAATTTATACTTATAATGGGCTGCGTGTTGTATAATTATGCGTCTAAATATGATGGAGAGATAAGAGACTGTAGTTAACGCTGTGCAAAAGTTCGATAATTATATTCCGGTGAGATGAACGGTAATTGAACGGTGCAGGAAATAATGACAAATATTCCTATTGGAATTATTACGAGACTTCGTCGAAAAATAATAGCGTTCACGACAAGAAGTTAAAGTTCCTATGCATCACGAATGTCATCGATTCTTCGAATATCCGGTTCTTTGAACGAGCGTAGCATCGGCGTTGTGTCGCGACTTTCATCGAGGCGGACGTTTTCCATGCGTGACGGAATTTTTACAGAAATTAAAAGTGTGTCGAATGCTAGTCATCGACGCGAGTGTGGACGCTTTATTATCCCACTCTATCGTCGAGTCAGCGTGCGTCTTCGAAGAAAGTAGATTCGTCACGTCGCTAAGTGGATGGGAACTATTCCGAACATTGACCGACGTTGATGGGCGATCAGGGCCACGATCACCGCGACAATCTTTTCCCTCTTTCGCATCTGTGATCCGTTATGCCGAGAATGACATGCGCGTTGGGTATTTCTCCCGGGATCTAAAAGGTATTGAATAGATCTAAAAGCATAATTGAATGCGAGGGAAATAAATCGTTCTAAGTTTTCCAAAAATTAAATCTTCGTATGGCCTTTTAATTCCCCATTTCGATCTTCTTTTATTCAGTTAAATAAAATATAGATCATCAAAATGTAAATCGTTAGGATTCAGGCTGCATTGAGACGATTCTGCAAAGATAATCCTAACTGGCTCTGGATTATTATCTAATTAACGGAGCTTTTGTATTAGTTAAATTCTTACCGTGGAAACTGGCGAAATAGATGCTCGCTGGGAGCGCAACCTTTGCTCTACCTGCCGTGCATAATTGCAGAATCGCGGGAGTTTCTCTAAGAGATCGAAATCAAGATCGTCGGTTCGCGCTTGAGTTAATTAATCCGCAGAGCAACCGGTACTGTCGCGAGAACAAGCGGTGATAACTGCTCTCGGGATAACAAAATGATTGCGAACACCGGAAATGGTCCACCTTCACTTTCTTACCTCCGCTCATTTAGCGCCATTAAAAAGCTGGAAATTAACTGCGTTGTTAAGTAAATGAGGGGCGATGACTTCCTCGCCATCGCTAACGACCAGGATTATTCTGCTTGAATTGTTTCCGTGGGAACATCATTTAGTCGGCTTATTCTTAATCCTGAAGACATGTTAATTAACTCTCTTCACTATTTCTCAAGTATCGTATGAATATATACCATTCGCTGCCATCATTCTTACGTTACATTTACTACAGTTGAAGTTAAAGATGTCGAGTCATTTTTTTTAAAACCTGTATTGTAAGAGAAAGCCGATTTTATTGTTACGCTTATTATGAAGTACGGGATTCGTATCCATTTTACATAGCCGGTTTCTATAAGTACACTGAAAAAAAGATTAACTGCTGCAGCAAATTAGATGGTAAAATATGGCATAACATTTTTAATTCAATTCAATTCAATTCTTTATTGCAATGCATGCATACACATATATAAAGCAAATGGCATGGCATCAGCAAGGTTACTGTTACAAGCCAGCCAGTAGCTAGATTATTACAGGTAAGTTTTGAGATAACAGAAATGACGAAACGTAATAATTTTGCACACTACACAAAGCATTAGCAATCATATCGTAGCAATAACATAACAATAGAATAATTCATACAAAATTAATATTAAACAACAATATTTGCATGACATTACAGTTATAAGAAACTAAACAATGTGCATAGCATAATCATAAGATAAAGGTACAGGCTCGAATCATTTATATTCTGAGTCGTCAAGATTGCAAAAGAGTATCACACTTACGATTATTCTTAAACCTGAGATAATGCATGCAGAAATCACATTCGCGTGGATATCGTAATTGGTTGCAGCAGTCAATTTTTGGTTGCGTTAGCCTATCGGAATCTTATACTGACATTGCAGATAGGCTAACGCAACCAAAAATTGGCTGCTGCAGCCAATTAAAAATGTTATGCCATATTTTACCATCTAATTTGCTGCAGTAGCCAATCTTTTTTTTCAGTGTAGTAGTCTTTAAAATAGAGTTCTGTTATTCTACCTTATAACGGAACTCTACTTCAAAACAGACACGCTGATCGAGCGCAGTATTTTGAAGGAGGTTCCTGATCCCGTTAGATAAGTTGAGGTGCAGCGAATATTGACGTGAAGCAACGAGGAGGAGCTGATCGCGGTGAACGAGAATATACGTTCCGGTCGCGCCGCACAGTAGTCGCCGACTTATCTCCACGGATTAAGCGGAAACGCACGCTGCTTTCGTCGGTGCAAAAAGCCTTTGAATTATTTTCGCGTAATCCCCAACGAGGTCTCGCCCTCGTACTCGGTAGATCCTCTCGCGCACGCAGGTTGTTCGCGCATCCCGCGCGAACAACCTGCTTAGCCTGTTCCAACTCGGTGTATTCCCGGTCGAATTATTAATCCTCGACGACCGGACTCGTGTCTGACCCCGTCGGCCTTCAATTAACTAGCATCCCTCTAAAACCGCGTAAAACGTGCCGCATAAATTTAATCCCGTTCGATTCCAAGGAATATATATCGTCCTGCGATTTCTCAGCGCAGCTGGAGGTGCGGAAGGAAAGTCGTGATTTCCACTTTGCCTTGGTGCATTTCCTCCTTAGCGAAAGATGAATTATTATGCTGCCTCTAATTCGTAAATCGCAAAACGTAGTTCGTAAACGCAGACGCAAAATGAAAAAAAGATTTTGCGAATAACGACCTATATAAACTGAACTGAACGGTGACGTTAACTTCTATGCTGCGGCGACTGAGTTGACCAATGACAGAGTAAAAAAAATAGCAGAAATGAATTTTATATTAACAAAGGCTTTTCCTTCTTAAATAAATTTTCATAATACGGAAAATATCAGACATATAAGTTTCTTTAATCTAACTTAAATTAAAATATAACCGCTTTAAAATGTCAACGCTGTCGCTGTTCAATTCAATGCGTGCGGTTGGTTTGTATTTGCGTGTATCTTCCATGCGGTGTTATTTTCTGCGTCTGTGTTTGTGAATTACGTTTTGCAATTTGCGAATTGCGTAGAGGCAGCTTTATATTGAAAATATACCTATACCGTGGTGGCACCAGTTATCGACGGGTATCCGGTTATTGACACGAGATGTCAGAATTAGTGAAAATTAAGAGATGTGCTTAAATACCTTTTTATATTATTTTATCACGAAACTTAAGCACATCTCTTAATTTTCATTAATTCTGACATCTCGTGTGAATAACCGGATAACCCTGGGGTAACCCGTCGATAACTGGTGCCACCACGGTATTACATCAAATATATATACACATATATATGTATAATATATACATATATATATTATATGAAAAATAATCTACATACTGCTAATTGTACGTTGTTTCGTTCGCAGCTCACTCCGGTTGGTTCGACGATCTTCAAGAACGTCGACGCAAAGGATGCCGACGCCGGTGTCAATGGTATCGTCGAGTACTCGATTGCACCTGGCGACGGCAGTAGAATTGGTAGCAACGAGGGTGTTGGACGCAACAGGATCACCACCGTCGACGGATACGGCTATTTCAGCATCAACCTGCCGCACCAGGGACAGGTCACAGTCAATCGAACACTCGACTATGAAAGGACTCAGCGTTATCTCGTCACCATCTTGGCATCGGTGAGTTTCGATCTTGTGCTAATCAAGTAATCACGTTAATTGATCGCAGCTGTCGGAATTGTGAATGAGTTCGAGATCAATGATACTGACGTAAGAGCTGAGATAAAAATGTAGATCTATCAAGATTTAATTAACGCAACGGTTAATTAAGGGTTTGCAAGAGAAATACGATCAGCTGATTCCTAAATGAGAATGTCATCTGACGTAAAATAAAACAGTAGAAAATTGAAAGATTGTCTCGGAACAAAAGGCTTTACATAAAAAAATAATGTTATAATTTATTAAAATTAATTATAATTTATCTTTATTAAATAAATACTTTCTTTTGAGAACAAAGAAAACTTTGTTTTATCTATAAAAAATATTCTAGTCTATCAATCTAATTATTTACGTATTTTGCAATTTTTTAATACTTGTTGGCCATGTTGTTGTACATGGAAAGAATGGTTTTGCTTAAGTATTCAAAAATTAGCTGAATACAGATCTGAAAATAATTTTATTTGGATATTATTAGAATAATTAATATATAGGACTCTCCTATGAAACTGGTTGTTAAATGTTTCCCAGCTTTATCATTAACGTTTAAAAAAATGTTCTACATAATTATTTTAATAGTTCAACAAAATTATTTTCAGGTTTGTAGCTAAATTTTTAGAAAACTTACTTTAGCAAAACCGTTCTTCCTGTGTATATATACCGTTGCAATACCTGTCGTAGAGTATGATAATCGAGCATAATGAGCTCGGCCAACGATACGTACGATTGCGCTACGCGACATCAAGCTGAAAACCTGTATGACAGCAGCAGAAAATTCTTGTACAAATAACGAGGAAGTAACGGTAATCATTTAACGATTTACATGCCTAGTAAATTGTTGCGTCGTCTTTTAAGATAGATCAGATTTGATTTGACAAAGATTGGCGCAATGGACGAAATGATAATTTTACGCGAATAACAATCTACTTTGATAACAAAATTATTATTGTAATTTATTTAATTAAATTAGTAAATTAAATTTACTAATTTTTTGTAAGAATTAATTTTACGAAGAAAGAATCTTACGAACCTGTTATACGATATTACAATTTAATAATTCTGTCTAGAAGAGAAATCTTTCTACTGCAAATTGATCTGTAGATAAGACAGAGTTCTTTGACATATTGTTCAAGAACTTCGATGTATACATATATATTGTCATCTACGTGGTATTTACGTTACATAACGTTCATACACCTGTTGCGAGCGATTCTCGAGGTTGTGTTGCTTTTATTCGGTCGTTACTAACGTTCATAGCTAGAACGCACATATAATAAGCATTCTGCAACGACGATCTGGAGCATTTTTAGCGTCGTAGTTGAAGTCTTTAGTTCGCGAGGATCGATTTTGCATCAATCGTCTTCCTGCATTTGCGATCGAATATGCAATTGAATATGCGCGTCTGATGCTAGTGTAAGTTAATCGGTTTATAAATGCGAGTGTTTCCTTAATTTAATACGCCACGGATGAGTACGAAGCGAATCGACGAGACGTGGGATGGTCAATGGTCAGGTCGCGTGGGTCGAGGGATGAGGACAGAACAAGAGGCTGACCGATGAGTCACAACGCTGACTACCCGCGCGACGGTTGAAAAACCATATTTGCATTAGCATATCGCGCTTCTCCTTTACGCAACTTCCTTTGAGTGTTGTTAGTCTGGATCTCGAGAGCTCTCTCAACTCGAAATGCAATTGGAACGCACCTTTCTGCACGATACTTCTTCACACGAATTCCTTTTTTACCCTTTCCGGGTTGAGTTTGTCTTAAAGTACAAGGTGTCATCCAAGAAAGTATCAAATTAGCAACAATTTAGCGATATATTATTTAATTAAACCATGATTCCTTTCCCAGAAAAATATAAAATGTTTTTATGTCGCATTTTTATTTATATTTCTTTTTAATCTTTAATATTAAAAAAATTTACTCCTTTATAATCTTCAATATTAAAAACATTCGTGTGTTTATTTATACATTGAAAAAGTGACCTGATTGAACCAACAAAAAGGCTCAATAAGAATGGTATTTTGAAGAAATCAAACAGAATTTCTGATCAACTAGAAATTCTGTTTAGTCTCATCTTGTTGGGTCTTTTTGTTGTGGTTTAATTAGAATTTTTTTTCTCAGTACAAGATTTTGAATTGACTCATTTTGTCTGGGATCGATTAAAGAGAATTATGTAGGACGCTCAAATTGGTTGCTAAAACTTTTTGCAACATTGCTCTTCATGCTTGAGATTCCTACGTAATTATTTTGATGGTCCAACAAAATTATTTTCAGGTCTGTATGTAACTAAATTTTTAGATATTTCAGCAAAACCATTCTTTTCGTGTCATCATCACGCTTCTATATATATACGCAGTACAATTTCAGCTATCCTGATTGCTCATTTACGAGAAATAAGGTCGATGAATACTACATATGGGAAGCGACATACATTACAGCAATATTCCTGAATTCCTCCATTTGTATTATCCCACTGAGGGATACTTCAGCGGTAATTCACACGCGAACGTATCGCAATAATTCTAAAGAGGACTTCAAGCATTCGCGCGCGCGTGCATAATTATATGCGTGACGCGACGAACGCGCGTGCAACATACACGCTTCGTTACGTGCACACGATCCTCGTACGAAACATGTCCCGCGTGCTCTGTCGCAGATTAGAAACTGATATACGTACAGGCCTACAGGCGTGCATTCGCTAAACGGTATTACAACCCGATGGCACTGGCACCACGCTGACCAGGTAGATACGTGTTCGATCTTTTTCATGTCTAATGATTTTAATGGTACTAATCGATTCTGCGGTTTCGCACAAGTGCGCAAACAGCGCACGACAGACTAGTCGTTAATTACAGTTACGCGCTCGGCTTAGATAATCCATGTCTAAATAATTAATTACTTCTATCAATCGCGTATTTAGAAGCATGCTGTATAGAGGTATATCAAATGTATACAAAAAGCTGCGTGAATATTGCAGATAAACAAGGAAAATGTGCGGCTTATGAAGTTTTATGAGTTGTTTTAGGTTTTGTCACTTCTTTTTCCATCTCTACAAAATTATTACTGACTTAAAATTAAGCTTTTCCTGGTAGAAATGTCGAGATAAAAGTCACTAAGTTATAAATATTTATTCTCATAAATTAAAAGACAAAAATAAATAACAGTACCTTAAAATGAATAACAGTATCTTATTTTTTATTTAATAAAATATTTGTAAGCGGACAACAGCATCTAAATTAATCGAGGAATCCACAGATAAGAAATGAATGTAGAAAAAGTGATACTTTCAGTATATCTCACATGATGACCGTTTAATGATAATTCTGGTGATTCACAAGCCAATCAGAATCGAGGTAGTTTGCACAAAGTATGGAGTACGATACGGGAGAAGTTGCGATATTTCCGATGCGAAGTTTTCGCACAATCTCGCGGTTAGGGCAAATTCACCGAATAGATCAGCGAAATAGAGAAAGGATCGCATATAACGGTAATACTGATGCGAAATAACACAATCTTTCCGTTTGATACACGCGTGTGGTATCGTTTGCGGTACCGTAAGGCATTAACCATTCGCCCCGCCAGATTAGAGGCCGATTGCCGTGCCGTTGCTTGTAGCTATTTGCATATCGCCCTGCCGAACCCAACATTGTTCGGCTTATAGATACACGCGGGCCATTGCTGCCGGATTAGAACTCGCAAATTGCGCTTCTCGCGTCCGCAATAGGTAACAAAACGATCGATATCGCAACACTTATCGGCCATGTACGCATTGTAATCCGAACTTTCCGCTGGCGAGAATCAGATTACAACATTATCCTCATAGAGGTACTGCAATCTGATTTGGCTCCCTTTTAAGCACTCATATACTCATTCATTAGACAATAAATTTAGGTTCTAAAAATTTAAACTAGCCTTGAAAAAGCGTGGTTCAATTTTCAATCTTTAAGAGTAAGATTTATCCTAAAATCTGTTTTAGAAAGTATCTATAAGAGCCAACACACAACATTATATGTGAATAAATTTATTTATTTATTCATAACAAAACATATAAACGTTTTAACTTTCGTTATGGGTCATTTTCAGTACATAAAATTCATTGCTAATAATAACATTCTCACAACTTATGAAGCATAATGATACAATAATGATGCAAACCATCCTAGAAAATGAATTGAGGTGCATAGTCAATTAATTAAGTATTGCAAAGTATTGCTCAGCAATAAATTGAAGAAGTCGGTCATATAAAATACGATAGTTTCACCATGTACATAACTTGTTCACAGATGGTCAGCATTGAATTTAGATATATCATTCATTAGATGTATCAGATTAACGATTATAATGTCCCCTATAAATCCAGTAATTTTTTAAAATCTATTATTGCATCTCTCTCATTAGCTGAGAGATCATCAATAAATAAATGAATGGCGAAATTTATTCCATTTTAGAGACGAAGAAAGTATATTGATTACGTAGCAAATTGTAATTAAAGTATAAATCTAGGACAGGGGGCAAATTTTTTATTTTAACAGCCACATAACAAGTATTTAAAATTTTTGAGGATTGTAATGGAATGGAAGCTATCTGAAACAAATAGAAAAGTGGTTTGGAATTTGGTATATCATTGTATAATTTAAATTCTTTTGTTAATCGACTTTGCGTTGCGAATTTTATTTTAACTATATTGTGTTACACTGAGGATAACCTAATGAAGATTGAAACGTATGTCTATTATACATTCTTAACTACGTTTTAAATATTAAAATTTAATTTAGCACTCGACATCCAGCGTTTACTCGTAGCCTATATACAGTTTCAATTTTTAATTTTCGAGTAATTTTTTGAACATATTTTAAATTTTGTGAGCCAAGAGAATAGTATGCAGTATGTAGTATAAAATAATAATAATTGTAATTATATAATTTAAATTTAATAATAGTAATTATGGAAGCCGTACAAAA